TTTGTTCTAGCATGTGAAAGTTACAAAGTATGTTGGGAAAATATGATGAAAAATATTAGTCATATCCTATGTAAAAATAGTGGAACAAATGCCCGGGTTACAACAGTCATCAAATATCGCTATCACGCTACTCGGTATATCAAACACATTGTAACAATTTATGTAGTCTGAAACATAATGGTATTATTGTTGGCACATATAGACATTTAGATATAGAATAAGCATTATTTGGTCATGAGCCAAACAAATCACATACTGCTCAAATTGACTAAGTGTTCAAAACGTCATAAAAAAGGAGCCGCCAACAGTGCGCGTCGCTCAATCTTTTTGCTAGCTGTCAAACAACTTGTCAAGTCAAAACATCTACGCGCCAAAGTGAAAAGGTTGACGCGCAAAAAATAAAAGCCACCCGCCAACCATCTCCACTCTAAACCACGCCCACAGAATAAATACGTTTATCTGCGTTGCTTTTCACGATATCTGACCGTCAAATGCAAGAAATATGGCTAATATCGTTACTGCAACCGGTAAAATATTGAAGAGAGGGTCAAAAACATCAGAAGAGGTTGAAAATATGATTGTTAACGAAATTATATTGTGGGGCGGTAATCCGATCACTGGTCATTTTTCTTCTTTTTGTGAAATAGCAGAAAAGTTTCGTTTCACCGACAAGGGGATCCGAAAAATATGGCGAAGTTTATTATTATACAGAGCAAGCAAAGGCAACAGACGAAATTACCATAACTTTAGGATGGTGACTTAGAGTTGATCGAAACATTGAAAAGATTTCTTTGTCGGCTTTGATTCTTTCGAATGATGACACATACTTCTCGTGACAAGAACTGGAGTGATGTGATTTTGGGGGAGACTTGGAATAAAATTTCCTGAATATCTTATGCCGTTATCTTATGTTTATTGCATGTAAACTGGTATATCCAGAACTTCGCAGACCATGAACATACTTCTCTATCTCGTGGACAAAATTTTCTAGCCACCATTGGAGTTTTTCGGAACCAGTCACCTTTGACAGTTTCCATTTTGTATGACTTCTCGTCAGTGGGCGTGGTTTAGAGAAAATACGGTTGGCGGGTTAATTTTATTTTTTGCGCGTCAACCTTTTCACTTTGGCGCATAGATGTTTTGACAAGTTGTTTGACAGCTAGCAAAAAGATTGTGCGACGCGCACCATCGGTGGCGTCCTTTTTATGACGTTTTGAACACTTAGTCAATTTGAGCAGTAAACCAACATTGAGTCATTGACTGCCCAGCCAAACACCACCATAGATCCCACATTTACTACCATTAACTGCCCACTCAAACACCACCATTTATCCCACATTCACTGCCATTGACTGCCCACTCAAACACCGGGCATTCGAACAGCACCATATATCTAAAACACTGCCATATATCCCACTTTCAGTCATTGACTGCGCATTCAAACAACACCAATTAAACTACTGTGGAATACTTTATTTTTGCTGGAATTAATTTTCACTGAAAAGGCTTTTTGGGTGTTTTGTATGGAATTTATTTTCACTGATTTTTGATGAGTTTAATGTGAAATGTAGAAAAAAAAGTATATTCGCTGGATTTTATTTTCACGGAATCATCCTTTCAGCGAAAATAAATTATTCTACAGTACTAGTATATGCTATAAACCAAGGTCTTTGTCGTTCAGTCTTCTACTGCCGCTCATTTTGTTCACAGTAGGCCCATGTGAGCAGTTGATGTAATCCAAACACAAGTATTTTTCACTTTTACATGGGCTCCAGTCAAGCTGTTAAAGTTTAATTACTTTTGCTATTGGAATCAACAGGGGAGCATACATTAGCAGATACTCGTGGTGCTGCATCTACATCAAGTGCTAACTTGAGTGAAAATAAGGAAATAAAAGGCTTAGAAGAGGCATTTTATGATGATATCTACTTTGATACAGATGATGAAGAAGAAGATGAAAAAGTAAACACAAGTAAAAATAAGAAAGGTAATTAAATTTACAATGAATTTCAAAAGTTTATTGCAGTATTTGAAAAAAAGAGAAATTCTGCCAATCACTCTTTAAACAATTTTTTTTTAAGATAAATTTCCCCTCATTCTGAATACAAGGAATGAGTTTTTAATCATACAGTTTTCACAATTTGGTTGTTTACTCTAGTACTCATTTTAATTATGGCTGAATTCATCTATTTTTACTTATTTTACTGCTTTACAGCTAAGAAGAAACATCGTGTTGTAAGCAATGATGACTTGTTCTATGATCCTGACATTGATGATGAAAATGAAAGATGGATAAACAAACAACGAGATAGATACAAACCAAAAAAATCAGGCTCTGGGGATGCCGCTAATCAATGTAGATCACAGAACTGTAGTGAGAAGGTGACTGCTACTACTGATGCGGTATTGAACTGCCCTGCATGCATGGCTTCTTTATGTATAGATTGTCAAAAACACGATTTTTACAGAAATCAGTTCAGAGCAATGTTCGTTATAAACTGCGTTATTGTCAAGGATGAAGTGTTGAGATATAAAGAACCAATCAGACAAGGTAAAAAGAGACAAAGAAATCAAAATAAAGCAGAATATGTAAGAATAGAAGCCAATGAGACATCAGAAGAAATCTATCACCCTGTGAAGTGTGGAGAATGTAACACTGAAGTGGCTGTCTATGACAAAGATGAAGTGTACCACTTTCATAATGTGCTCGCCAGTGCACCATAAACATTGTATGAATGAAAGATTATATACACAGTCGCTTATATTCTGATGATGCAACAGACTCTATTGAATTTCAAATAGATACTGTTAAATATTCAAGTTTTTTAATTTTTAGAACAAGCAAAAATTATGTCTTTTGTCCAATCATATTTGGATGTTTGTGGGCCTTGTTGAGAGCTGTAAATATGTGGTCAGGGTAATAGAGCTGCAATTCATTCTGTGATGTGAAACCATGAAATTTAATACATGTTAAATTCCAAAATAAAACACAAATTTTAATGATTATAAAACATGTCTCTTTTTTGCTAGCATGTTATTTTAGCGAATTTATTTAAGCCAAGATGTTGGCAATTTAAAGGGCGGTAGTCGTTGAGTCGCGCATGTGCGACATTTGTGTTGATAATCATTGCTTCTCCTATAATCCAATGCGCTTTTCTGATGAAATTATGATTGTGATTTTGCCTTGAGTCCCACTTGCACTAATTTCCGCTGGCGATACCTTCCAAACACCAAAAAAAACCTGATTAAAGCTTGATATCGTCTCAGTTTGTACTCGTTTGTGTACGCAACAGTTAAAGTTGCCATCTTTATTTATACAAGACTTATCTCGTGCATGCGTGGCGCGACGACTACCACCATTTAAAATAAAGTATATTCTAATGAGAATTAGCTAAATTATGCATAGAGTCAAAGTTTCTAATATGGCATGTAGCTATTTCAATGTCGTCCTAGATGTACCAATAGTCTAAAATGGTGATTGAAACATTTTGGCCAATTAAAACTAATTATTGAGATTTTGAGCCACCACTGTCTGTTACACAAAATGTAGTCGTTACTGAGTGCAATCAACGCATACAAACAAAATGGCTTTCTGAATTTGCACATAATTGACAATGTAATAATTCTTCCTAGTGGGACTTTCAGAGAACTGCTCCAATTATTAAACCCCCCTCCCCCAGGTGATTGAATCAGCCACTCATTCAGCTAGCTCTGCAAAAAAGCACCATGTCTCTACTTTCTCAAATAGAATATACCAGTACATAACACCATACATGTTCAACACAAGTTGTGGAATTTCAAAATTTTATTGTTTTAAAAAGTGCTCATACTGAAATGTGGTCACAGGAGTTGCATAATGTATCAGTCTACAAGCCAATTACAAAATTCCTGGTGGATCAAGGGACTGCAAGTCAACCAAGTGATTTACTACTCAGTTTTCAAATTTTTTTTGCAATTTTCATAATAAGTAAAAACCCACATACTGTATGTCAATTTTACACAAGTTACAATAGTTGGTGAAGGGATATCAGGTTATAATAAAAAAACATAACTATTACACCATAAAACTTAACGATGTTTCAAGAAAGAAAATGGTTGCCAGTCAGCCGTCTTTGATGGAATATGTACATAACCACTGCATGTGCACATGTCCCAGATAAAGTACTGGACATATGAACAGATTTGGTCAAGATTTTTGAAATATGACACCGGACAGAGACTGAATTATAAGACCCCCGTTCCAACTATTATATTTAGTACTAATCATTTCGGTATGCCATTTCAACTTGGGTACATCTAAACATATTGCTATCAAGAAATAACTTAGAGGCTGTGCTACTTCCTGTTATTCTGCAATCTGCACTTTCTGAATTTGTTTGGTATTGTTTTATAAGCGTAGAACTAACATGTATAGCTTCCAAGTTACTGTACTGCACAATTATGGTTATATTGACTGAAGATTTTCGTATATTAACTTAGTTTGAGGCTTCCTTATCCCGTGCTAACCACAGTTTCTTCCCGTGTGTGAATGCAAATGGAACTCTTCGATATGCAAACATACAAGATTAGCTTAAATCTTAGTCCATTCTTTGTGCAGCATGAACACTACCTATTTCTGGGGATGCAATAAAATTATACCATTGAAGGTACAACTTAATTTTGCATACAAATACACCAATTTATGGTGTGTAGGAATAAATAATGAATAGAATAAGGAGCGACTGGTACTACTGATATGTATTAATAGTACTAAGCCCAAAATGTTTATGGAATCTGCATATACCGGTAAACCCACTAAATACTCATGAAATGCTTCAAGACCACAATGACAAAACACACTTAGTCAAAAATAAATGAAAATTTCATATTTTTTATTAAATTATCAATCTGCTGTACTATATATTATTTTGAAGGGAGGGCCACAAATGTTTTTGTGACAAGTGTCCCAAAATTGCACATTTACCTGTACTAGTATACATATACTGTACAAGTATTTTGCAGCATACCACAATCATGGTGATTTTAGTTTAAAGTATCTTAAACTAGACGAATTACAAAAAGAAACAAATTGAAAGTGTTGTGATTAATAATATTCAAGACAAAGGTAAACTCCAACAAAAATGAGGGATCACTGACATTTAGCCACCAATGTGCATGACCAGGTCAAGAATTTATGTAAATGCATCTCAAATCGAGCATGGCAAAATACTTCCTTACTTAAGTACTTACTGAACTAATGTACATTTTTTTTTAAAATGACAATGGAGATACATTTACATACGTCCAATATACGTCCAGTTTGAAAGGGTACACTGCCAATGCATCTTCCTCTGTATAAAACTTCCGGACCAAATTTGGAGTGAAATCAGTGGCATCTGGCAAATATGGAATTG